TGGTTTGTACAGTGATCCAGAGCAGTGGAAGGCAGGAAGGCGGTGAAGCATGATCCAGAAAACCTGAAGCAGCCTGAGAATTTCCAAAATGGTGACCAGCATCCGGGTAGAGATGCAAACTGCACACAATGTGAGAACAAGGTAAGTTAATTATAGACGTGACTTGTGAAGCAAAGGTGGCCTGTTACTAACACGGGTTAGATAACAAACTGGCGAGGAACAGATGTGGACATTGGTCTTAAATACTGCCTGTTGATACTCCTGGATCAATGACAGGTGAGCATAACGGCCACCGTGCAGGGGAAAGCACAGCGTTCGATAATGTCGACCATAATATCCTATTAGAGCCATTAGAGCACGCTGTAGGTATTACAGGTACTGCGCTGCAATGGTTTGTATCATATCTACAGTGGGGCAAAAAAGTATTTAGTCAGCCACCGATTGTGCAAGTTCCCCCACTCAAAATGATGACAGAGGTCAGTAATTTGCACCAGAGGTACACTTCAACTGTGAGAGACAGAATGTGAAAAAAAAATCCATGAATCCACATGGTAGGATTTGTAAAGAATTTATTCGTAAATTAGGGTGGAAAATAAGTATTTGGTCACCTCAAACAAGGAAAATCTCTGGCTCTCACAGACCTGTAACGTCTTCTGTAAGAAGCTTTTCTGTCCCCCACTCGTTACCTGTATGAATGGCACCTGTTTGAACTCATCATCTGTATAAAAGACACCTGTCCACAGCCTCAAACAGTCAGACTCCAAACTCCGCCATGGCCAAGACCAAAGAGCTTTCGAAGGACACCAGGAAAAGTATTGTAGACCTGCACCAGACTGGGAAGAGTGAATCTACAATAGGCAAGCAGCTTGGTGTGAAAAAATCAACTGTGGGAGCAATCATCAGAAAATGGAAGACATACAAGACCACTGATAATCTCCCTCGATCTGGGGCTCCACGCAAGATCTCATCCCGTGGGGTCAAAATGATCATGAGAACGGTGAGCAAAGATCCCAGAACCACACGGGGGGACCTGGTGAATGACCTGCAGAGAGCTGGGACCAAAGTAACAAAGGTCACCATCAGTAACACACTACAACGACAGGGAATCAAATCCCGCAGTGCCAGACGTGTTCCGCTGCTGAAGCCAGTGCATGTCCAGGCCCGTCTGAAGTTTGCCAGAGAGCACATGGATGATACAGCAGAGGATTGGGAGAATGTCATGTGGTCAGATGAAACCAAAGTAGAACTTTTTGGTATAAACTCAACTCATCGTGTTTGGAGGACGAAGAATACTGAGTTGCATCCCAAGAACACCATACCTACTGTGAAGCATGGGGGTGGAAACATCATGCTATGGGGCTGTTTTTCTGCCAAGGGGACAGGACGACTGATCCGTGTTAAGGACAGAATGAATGGGGCCATGTATCGTGAGATTTTGAGCCAAAACCTCCTTCCATCAGTGAGAACTTTGAAGATGAAACGAGGCTGGGTCTTCCAACATGACAATGATCCAAAACACACCGCCCGGGCAACAAAGGAGTGGCTCCGTAAGAAGCATTTGAAAGTCCTGGAGTGGCCTAGCCAGTCTCCAGACCTCAACCCCATAGAAAATCTGTGGCGGGAGTTGAAAGTCCGTGTTGCTCGGCGACAGCCCCAAAGCATCACTGCTCTCGAGAAGATCTGCATGGAGGAATGGGCCAAAATACCAGCTACTGTGTGTGCAAACCTGGTAAAGACCTATAGTAAACGTTTGACCTCTGTTATTGCCAACAAAGGTTATGTTACAAAGTATTGAGTTGTATTTTTGTTATTGACCAAATACTTATTTTCCACCCTTACGAATAAATTCTTTACAAATCCTACCATGTGGATTCATGGATTTTTTTTTTTTTCACATTCTGTCTCTCACAGTTGAAGTGTACCTCTGGTGCAAATTACTGACCTCTGTCATCATTTTGAGTGGGGGAACTTGCACAATCGGTGGCTGACTAAATACTTTTTTGCCGCACTGTATCTAATAGACTCCAGTTTGTTGGAGAGTCTTCTTCACACACTGACGTTAATTATGGAGTTCCACAGGGTTCAGTGCTAGGACCAATTCTGTTTACATTATACTGCCTCGGGGAAGCATGTATGATCAGATTATTATGCATGCTTCCCATTAATGGCCTCATATTACCACATCACCCTATTAGAGCACATCACTCTCACACTGCAGGTTTCTTCTGTTAATTTGTGCATTTTACTCTGTGAGAGGAAGTTCTCACTCACTTCCTGTATTTATAGCTTCCTGTTTATTGTTGACTTCACAGAAAGGGACAAGATGAAGAGAGGGAAGAAAACTGTTGTCATTTAATAGAAGTGCATTTTAGGGTTTTGTTTGCTTTAGTGTTGTATGTAATATTGTAAAATGTAATGTACACTTTAGAAGTGTGTGTTTTGTTGCTGGTGAAAAGTGAGTAAGAGGATGATTATAATATTTAGTCTCATATATGTGTCTTACATGGATGACTGTATTCTATTTGTATGGACTAGCCCATTGGAGGCAATTTTGTTTGTATAGCTTGAGAGTATTTAAACAGAAGAACTTAGTTGTTCAAGAGACGAGGACCAGGTCAGTGTGCATGTGAGATTCATTTTGATTGGTTTAAGTTTAGTTATGTTTATTTGTCCAAGGCAGCTTTTGAGTTATTGATTCTTGTAAATATTTTTTGTCACAATGTTTGCAAATAAATCACCTGCTACATTGGACAGCATCTGTTTCCTGATCTTCTTCAGCCACTTTGGCCAAGCCATCTCAGTCATTTTGCAGAATTTAATTTCCTGCTCTTTTAGTTGTTCGGCTGTTTTGCAGGGTTATACAAAAATGTTTTCATGAGCTTTTGACTGAGATTCTGAGGTTTCTAAAGCTACGACTGATGTCTGTATTTAAAAAGACTTTGTGTCACATCATACTAAACCTGTTCCCAGGGGCAAGAGGGACTTAAGAAGTTAATAAGTTGTATTTGGGGAACTCCTGACTGAGGTTTCCCTGAGTCAAATCACCAAGAACAATGACTAAGGAGTCCCTGTTTCTCTGCTCCACACAGCATTTGCTGAGCAAACAAGCACTGGGCTTGAGGTTGCATGTACACACAGACCAGAATAAATTAATAAAACTCATGTGGGGAGATTGCAGTGAATGAAAAAAAATATTCCAGATGACTGTCACCAAAGCAGTTGCTAACAGGAAGTCATATGATTGTTGGGTTCTCTGTTGTATTACTGTAGGGTCTACCTTACAATACAAAGCACCTTTTGGCGACTGTTGTTGTGATTTGGTGCTGTATAAATAAAAATGAAACTGAGCTGAAAGCAGTGTTTCTGAATAACACTGAGCATCTTCTTCAGTGTTATTCAGTCCCATCTTTGTTGAGTCCTCCAGCAGTTCCTAGAAAACAAGTTAGATGCGTAAAGGTAGCATGTGTCAGTTTCATGCTGACAATGTTTCCATCCTTGGCTACAGCTCTGAGAAGAGTCAAATCAGAGCCAACCCAGCTAAGGTCCAAGCAGTTCTGGATTGGCCAGAGCTAACCACTTGAAAACATCTTCAGCGCTGCCTCGGCTTCTCTATGTCTTTTATGTTGCTTCAGTTGTCCAGTCTTAGAATATACATTGGCCACGCATGTCAAAATTCACCTGTCATCCAGCCAAAGTTCAAGTTGCTACAATGTTGTCATATACAGACAACATTGTAGCAACATTTACCCATAATGTGAATCCTTAGACAAACAAAAGTCTCAGAGACGTCTGAGTGGCTGTCTGCCACCTGTCTTCAAAACAAAACTTCTCCCACTCTCCCAGTTGGTCTGCTGCATCATACCTGGAAGTGCCACTGGTCCCATATTGCACTGGATTTTGCTACCTGACTGCCTCCATCTGCAGGTAACACTGTCGTTCTCACAACTGACCGTTTTTCACACGCTGTGTACTTCATTACTCTCCCTAAGTTCCTCTCTGGCCATGAAACCCCCCACATCGGTTTACTTAGAAATAACTCAGGAAGTAAAAGTTATCAGCAATATTTTATTATCTTAGACAAATGCATTTATATGATATTCCGGTGCATACTCCATACCAGTTTTGAGTGTTCAAAAATCAGGCAGGTGGTAGTGTGCTCTGACTCGGCAGCTGTTCTTTCAAGTCTACAATCATTTTGTTCGAAGACAAGGCAGGGCATGCTGTATGCTATTCTGGAGACTATAAGAAGGATAAGGTGTTGTGGTGGCAATATTCACTTTCTTTGGGTGCCAGCTCATGTAGGGATCAGTGGAAATGAAAAGGTGGATAGGTTGGAAAAAAAGAGCGTTGACTAAAAATAGGACTGAGATGGCAATTACAAGCAGTGGATCTGAAGCAAAAGCTATTGTTTGGAGGCAGGTTGTTAAGGAGTGGCAGACGCGGTGGGACTCGGGAAGTAAGGGCAGACAATTGTATCATCTTAAGAAGGAGGTGGCAGAGAGTAGGTTGTATAGGGGTAATAGGAGAGATGAGGTGGTCATTACCAGGCTTAGACTGGGACATTGTGCATTAAATAAAACACTACAGATGATAGGAGAACATGAGACGGGGCTTTGTGGAGTGTGCCAGGAGGAGGAGGAGACAGTAGAGCATGTAATACTGCGGTGCAAGGGTTATGATGTGGAGAGGACAGTTCTGCAGAATAGGTTGACGGAGCGAGGAATTGGGGAATTTAATCTAAAGAGTGTGTTGGAGGGTAGTAGGGCACAGGTGAGGGAACTGGTGGGGTTTCTGAAGGATATAGGTGTTTATGAAAGAGTGTAGGGTTTTTTTGTTTTTGTTTTTGTTTTGATACAAATTGTAAACTCACTGTCTGACCCATACTCCGGAACAGTAGGAGGCGGTAATGCTCCTTTACGTTGGTTGCCAACCGCCGTTAAACACAAAGAAGAAGAAGAAGACTCCATACCAGTTGGTGGCGGTAATGCACCAATTCGTTGTTTGTCAACAGCCAATGAATACAAAGAAGAAGAAAAAGAATCAGCAGAATATCGTCAAGCATAGGAACTCGGCTGGAGCCACTTCCATCATGTCAGGATAGAAAAGCAAACAAACAGCAGACAAAGCTCGGTCGAACCATCCTTTTCCGAAACGGAGTCTTTACGATGGAAGGCGAGGAGGAGAGGGGTGTTGTTCGTGTCAAAGTCAAGGTGGGAGAATGATGGTTTCTTTGACTTCCACATAGGCTGCCAAAGACTGCGAACAGCGAGCAATCATATTATCGCATAGGTTAAATTGGCTGTTTAGACAGACACGCTCCCGCGTTAATGTTAAACATCGAAAATATGCACTCCGTAAACTGGATGTTTAGCAGTGTGCCATAACAGAGGGGGCCTCTTCTATTTATTTGGGGGTTTTCGGTAGAATTGCTTCTTCTCGATGCCGATCAGTCATTGTCCCTGTCAGTTTACACTGAGTAAACCTGTAATGTACACCTGACACGGTTATCGGTCATAACACGTTGACAATATCCAATGCAAACATCGGGCTGTCACAGAGGTGAGCTGACGTCACTTGCCTGCCCAGAAAATGTGTGCGTATTGTGCCTGTAGGTATCCCCGGCGGTGTTGTTTCCCCTGCGTCGGGAGCACGTCCGGTTGACTCCGCCTCCATTACAAACAGCGAGACGTGGAAGTAGCGATGTTTACTTTAGTGCAAAACTGAAAGATGACTGTCGTTACAAACAGAAAATGATACATTTATTGTTCTCACTTTATGAGATTATTTTAACAAACCGACGACCTTTTGCCCGATAATCATTTTTATCCTCCTGTACCTTCACTGCATAAAGAGCTAAAACTCCAAAATTTCAGGAGTAGCTGGTCATTAGAAGTGTTTGTGAACTAAAAATCAAGAATGAGGGAAACTCTTTGTCCGTGATTTGGAGAGCCCAGTGGGAAGTCTGCCGGGGATGCCGTGGCAGGACAGGTGCACCAGCATTTTTGTTGTGTCAATTGTTATCTGCATCAAAGACATAACAGCTTATAATGTTACGAACCTTTTTGCTGTATGTTGCACAATACTTCAAAGTTTAAAGGTCATAATATGACAAACTTCATGCAGAGGAAAGAAATGTACACTGTATACCCTGCATCATTTAATTATACTGTTAAATTAATGGCCTTTTTGTGACACAAAAGAAATTCATAATACTGTTATAGTTGCATAAATAAAAGTAGGGTAGAATGTGTAGAAACTAAAAAGCTAGTTTCTACACATTATTTCTATCACATTATCAGATATCAAAAAGGTTTAATATTCGAATGCACATTTGAACAAAATGTATTCAAATATTGAACCAAATAATAATGTTGATTGATATAAAAACCAGAAAAAAAATCCCTTCATCCTTCAAGCTCGAGTCCTCTACCAGAGTCTTGGGAGCTCAAGGGTCCTGCACGGTATCTTTGCTGTTCCTAGTACTGCGCTCTGCTGGACACCACTACTGTATCCGGTTGGTCAGCCATCACCAGTTTATCCGCCTGTATCTGAAAGTCCCACAGAATCTTAACTCAGTCATGCTCAACCACCCTAGGGGGCGTATCCAATTTTGACCTCGTGACGTCCAGGACATACAGATGTTCCTGTACACTATGCCGGCCACTTGGTTATGGCATTCCATGTATGCCCTGCCTGCTAGCATCTTACACCCTGCTGTTATGTGCTGGATTGTCTCAGGGGCATCTTTACACAGCCTGCACCTGGGGTCTTGTCTGGTGTGACAGACCCCAGCCTCTATGTGCTCAGTTCTTGTTCCTGTGCTGCCATGATTAGTGTCTATGTGCTGTCACTCCAGCTTTGTCCAGCCACTGGTAGGATTTCCAGCCACTTCGTCTATCTGCCGGTGGTACATACAGGGGCCTTTCCTTCATGATGGTTCTTCTTGCTCCACTTCTTTCTTAGGTTTCTGCTGCCTGAGCTGTTCACTAAGCACACAGTCAGTTGTGGCCAACTTCCTGATGTACTCATGGATGTTTGTTGTCTCATCCTGGACGGTGGTTCAGACACTCACTTGCCCTCTGCCTCCTTCCTTCCGCTTAGTGTACAGTCTCAAGGTGGTGGATTTGGGTTGAAACCCTCCACACATGGTAAGGAGATTGATGTAATCTCTCCAGCATGTCTTGGGTTTGCCTCGGTGCCTCCGTCTGGTGGGCCGTGCCCAGAACACCTCACCCAGAAGGCGCCGAGGAGGCATCCTAATCAGATACCCAAACCACCTCAACTGGTCGTGCTCCTTTTCCAGCTGAGGACCACAACCTCAGATTTGGAGGTGCTTGTTCTCATTCCCGCTGCTTTACACTTGGCTCCGAACTGCTTTAGTGCAAGCTGGAGGCAACCACCAAGGCCACATCATCTGCAAACACTGTTTTTCCCATGTGAGCGTTGAAGTTTTCCAGTAGAATGACAGAAACACTAGATGGATCACCCTAAAGCATCCCACTCAGTGACCCCAAGAAGGCTGGCTAGTCTGAACTGTCCATTGGTGCATAAGCACAGATGACAGTCAGGACCCATTCCCCGACCCAAAGGTGCAGGGAAGCAATCATCTCATCCACCAGCAAAAACCCCAGCATACTGGCAGCAAGGTGAGAGAATACAAGAATACCCATACCTGCCTACCACCTGTCACTGAGACCGGAACAGAGTCCAGCCCCAAGCTGTGCATTGAAGTGAGGCTACTGTAGCTTTATGTATCTGTTAACCTCAGGCTTCTTATTCACCACAGAGGTTACATTCCATGAGTGTGGTCCCATGACGCTTCTTTGGGCTGTGCCTGCCAGCACAGATGGCATAAGGCCCGACCCCCCAGACGCTCACCTTTGAGCTCCCTCTCCAGGCCTGGTTTCAGGGTGAGACCCCAGTAACCCTTTTGCAGATAGAATAAACAGTCCCTTGATTTCTATTCTTTTCATAGGGGTCGACTTAATCGTGCTTTGTCTGGCCCCTCATCCAGGACAAATTTGCCCTGAGAGACTGTAGCACCCCCTAGGCAACCCCCCACCCCCCAACAACAGAGGATGATGTGGAGCATTATTCCATTAATTTTATGTGTTTTGTATGCTTTACATTCAAATAGACGAATTATTATGTATTTTGTTTTATAATTATTTTACAGTTATGGTCTAGTAACAATGCATTGTTTTTTATTTTATTATAGGGTGGTATAGTATCCCATTGACTTGGTTTGTATCTCTTATTCTCCTACCATGGTTTAACCACACCAAGAATGTTTGTATGTTTACTTGTTTGTCAGTGATGAGATTGTAATATGATTTTTATTTATTTATTTATTTTTTCCCAGAAATGTGATGGGGCACTTCCTGTGGAGTTTCGCTCCTTTGCTGTTGATCCCCAGATAACATCGCTGGAGGTTTTGCAGCACATACTTATCAGAGCCTTTGATTTGAATGGGTAAGAATAGTCAGAATGGCCAAACAGACTTATAAACAGAGAAGTGCCCAAAGAATTTATCTAACATTGTTTAAATATCTTTCTTGAATTAGGAAGAGAAATTTCAGCGTTGGTTACCTGTCTCGCGATCGCAGCGGGGCTGAAATGTATATGTCTCTGGTCTCTGACTGGGATTTGGATGTTGCGTTTGTCAGTGCAGCCAGACCATTTCTGCAGCTCAAGATGGATATAAAACCTTCTGAGGACAGTAAGAACACCAGCAACTTAAATCAAGACTGAAAGCAAAAATGTTATAGATTTCTAATTTATGATGTAAATAATATAAATTTTAAAGATCAAAACTACAGTCTGTGGTAGAACATTTTGTTACCCATCACATCCAAACTTTTAAAAGTCTGTTTGCAGAAGAGAAATGATTACAACAAAGAATACCTCTTTCAGATTGAAACCAGGCATCAAAACGTGACACAGGAAGGACTAAAACACTGTTGCTGTTAAATCTGCTTGTCATTATTTCACTGCAGGCCCTGTTTTGGAAGACTGGGACATCATAAGCCCCAAAGACGTGATTGGCTCTGAGCAGCTTCTCACAGAGAAGACTAGATCCTTGGCATCTGCAGCTCTTCCCTTCACCCAGTCTCTACTGTCCCAGGTTCCTTTACCTTTCCTCACTCTGTTTAACCTAACCACACTCTCTGAGCCACGTTTTTGCTGATGCACCTGTTTCTATTCTGTTTAGGTGGGCCGGACCCTGTCGAAGGTCCAGCAGGCCTTCAGCTGGTCTTATGGGGAGGAGATCAAGCCTTTCAAGCCCCCTCTAAGTGACGCTGAGTTTCACAGTTACCTTAACGGACAGGGACAGTTGACCCGGCCTGAGGAACTCAGACTGCGAATCTACCATGGGGGTGTGGAGCCGTCGCTGCGGAAGGTTTAGCACCTGTGTTTGATTAATATTGTATATGAGCACCTTGTACGCTCTAAACAAAATAATCTGGTTATTATTTCTGGTTATTATTTAAACTGAACAAATTCTCGTGCTAATTCTAGCTATCCTGCTATCCTAGCTCTCCCTCTTGGCTGAGAGTTTTAACAGTCAGCCAGCTTGCAACCAGATTTGAACTGATACGTTCAGTCATTTGCGATTTTTGGATGAAAAGATGGAACTTGAAGGACAATTAAGAACATATATGTGCAATTATAGAATTTGTATTTTATGACTTACATTTCTCAAGGATTAACTCCTCTGTTGTCCTCTGTTGGGTTAGGTGGTTTGGCGTTACCTCCTGAATGTCTATCCAGATGGACTTAGCGGACAGGAGAGAATGGACTACATGAAGAGGAAGACGAGAGAGTATGACCAGCTAAAGAGAGAGTGGACAACCCGGGTTAGTCATGAGGACCTTGAATTTATCCGTGGAAATGTTCTCAAAGACGTCCTGAGGACGGATCGAGCTCATCCATACTATGCAGGCTCTGAGGATAGTCCCCATTTGACTGCCCTCACAGATCTACTCACCACATTTGCCATCACTCATCCACAGGTTTGTATTGGCGCATTATCTGGAACGCAAATCTTCTCCTGCAGTCTGAATCTCTTAACCCTCTGTATCCACAGAAATGCCAGAATCTTGGCTAAAAGCTCAACAAACAAATAGAAGAGCATGTAAACACAAATAACATAAACACAAAGCACGGATTCCCTGTTTGCAGAGTCGCAGACAAGTATGTAACATTGAAAGCCGGCATCTCGCAGATTCCAAAACTGCAAGTTTCATCACGCTCCGACCAAAATTCAGTGAACCAGCAGCAAAAGAAAACCAGACCACGCTTCGAGTTTGAAAAATAGTAGCATGAATTTTGTCTTACCTTTGCTGTTTTTCATCTAAAACCTATTTTGTCACTGTTAAAGTTCATTAACTAAATAACTCCATCTCCTACAATGCCTCAGAGAAGTTTTTCATCAAAGGAAAATCACAATTTTCTGCCCGTTACAGAGATTACTGTCTGATAGTGACGGCACGTATGAGAAGAAAAGGAACAAACCAAGACAAAATAACAAGGCTGATATTTTTCTTTAAGAAAAGACTGATTTGCATGACTTTAGCTTTTCTAATGGTTTGCTCAAAGCAATCCAGTTTTGATTCCTTTAAAAGTATTTTAATGTCGGCTGTTTTAAGGAAGAAAGACCACAGTCTTAAATGATACATTTGATGATTGTGACATGACATATAACGTGATATAGAAATGTGTTCTTTGTGCAAACTGTCATCTTTTGTAACGTTTTGCCATTGTGTTGTTTTTCCAGATCTCTTACTGTCAAGGCATGAGTGACATTGCCTCCCCAATACTTGCAGTAATGGACAACGAGGCACACGCCTTCATTTGCTTTTGTGGCATCATGAAACGCTTAGAAGGAAACTTCCGGCCAGACGGGCAGCTCATGTCTGTTAAGTTCCAGCATCTGAAGCTCCTCCTGCAGTACTCCGATCCTGAATTCTACTCTTACCTAGTGTCCCGAGGAGCTGACGACCTCTTCTTCTGCTACCGTTGGCTTCTTCTGGAGCTTAAACGAGAGTTTGCGTTTGATGATGCTCTAAGGATGCTGGAAGTTACTTGGAGCTCTCTGCCCCCAGATCCTCCTGAAACTGAAGTGGAGCTTCTGGGGCCACCTCTGGAAGCCGACGAAACAATGTTCAGCAACTTTGAGGACAAGACGGTTGAGGACTACTTTCAAGATAAGGAACAAAAAGAGAAGCAGCGTCGACGGCACATGCTGCGACCTTCAAGAGAAGAAGCAGACATGAACATAAATGCCATCGCTGATGAAATGGACAGGCAAAGCGTGAGCTCGGACAAAGCAAATGTGGGTGACGAGTGTGATATCCCTCAGGTAACCATGGCAAAGACAGATTTGAAAGGTGCTCCCTTCGAGAGGCAGACTAGTTTTGGGGAGTTTAAATATTATACTGCCCGAAATGAAGACAGCTTTGATATGGAGGAGGTTGAACAGCATCCTCCATGTCAACAGGGTGCAGTGGTTTCAGAGTCGATAACGAGCATCCCGAGGCGCCAATCCACAACTGACACTGAGGAGGACACGGGAGAGCAAACACCACTGTTTAAAAATTTTGATAATGATGTTTCTCCACCTCTTTTCCCAAGCAGCCAACCCGTCTGGAAAACTGGCTCCTCTGTCTCTCCCATGTCTTCAGTGTCACCATCGAGTTGGCCTGGTGTTTCTCCAGACTCTCCTCCAAAGTCCACATCACCATACGTGAGCAACGAAAGTGAGGCCTTACCAAGAGCTGGCCTAAACGTGTCAGCTTCTTCTACTCAGTTGCCCAGCAGTACACGCATCAGTTCACCCACAACCCCCACTGCACGGACATCCGTCAGCTCTCTTTCTACTGCTCAAAACAGATCCCTGCTGTCTTCACCCATTTTGTCCTTTGGAAGAGGAACATCTTTGTCTGGTTCCAGGTTGTACTCAAACAGTCTCCTCTCACCTGGCAACAAATCCCCCAGCAGCGCTGCTAATACGCCCAGTTCTCTAAAAGCCGAGACCACTGGCATCAAGCCGTGCTCCTTGCCACCTCCTCAAGAGTTTGGTAAAGGCAACCCGTTCATGCTGTTCCTGTGCTTGTCCATCCTGTTGGAGCACAGAGACCATATCATCAAGAACAGTTTGGATTACAATGAGCTAGCCATGCACTTTGATCGCCTTGTGCGACGCCACAACCTGAGCAGAGTGCTGCAAAGAGCCAAGGCCCTGTTTGCAGAGTACTTGCAAAGTGAGGTGTGGGACTCAGAAGAAGGGGATGAGGTTAGCTCAGACTCTCCAACAACAGCTACTGCTACTCAGCACTCCCCTTCTTCAGCCATCTCTGCTAAGCCCATTTACAGCCCTTTAGCATCTCCACAGTTGTCATCTCCAAACTCAACCTATAATTTGGCAAACACCATTCCTTCTCTGATAGCTCAAAATTCCTTTTCCACCAGTTCCTGATTCTGTTGTACATCACTGGCCTCCTTTTCCGGACTGCTTAGTGGATTCAGCTCTTTCAATTCTGTCTCTAATTAAATACATATATTCCTTAAGGTCAGTGTAATATTTTTCATTTTTCTTGCTTGTTCTCTGGAAGTCGGGATAAAGAACCTAAGAAGCCTTTTTTCCATTGGGGTTGCTGATTCTTGAAGCTCAGTAATTTGGGGATCTGATATTTGACCCTGAGCCTGTCTGAATCATACACTTGGTGCATTTAACCCGTGTTGCCACTTTTATCATGTTTGTTTACAATCTGATTTCCTCTCCAGGAAGCCATGGAAGTATGTTAATTAAAACACGGGAGTTCAATTATTTAAAAACATAATGGGATGGTGGTTTCTTGAACTCATGAGTCAAGTCTTTGCTTTCACTCATCCCGAGTGCACGAACCACTGAATAATTGCAGAATTTGTATGTTTTGTTTTGTTTTTTGTTTGTTTGTTTGTTTGCTTGTTTATTGTGTTTTTTTAAAAAAATAACCTCAAGTGTGACTTGTTACTCATAAAATAACATGCTCGATAGGGATGTGACCCTGTGACCCCAATAATTTAATCCGATAATCTAAATTCTTTTAGTTTGGATATTTTAAATAAGTGTGTGTGTGAACAAGGAGCCACTCGCTGACTATTTAGTTGGCATGTTGTTTCATTTCTTTGTATCTTCAAAGCAAACATGCAGAAAGGCATTTGCAGTGACATTCACTGTGCTCGGGAGCACATGGTACACCATCCAGGACTCATTTCTGCCTGAAATTGCTTCCTGTTGAAAGTAGGTTGTCCTCTAAAACACTCACTTGAGGCAACTAGTTGTGAACTGGTGCCATACAAATAATATTGAATTGAAAACATACTTGGCAATATTTGACACATAACACGACCATAGCTGCATACTTATTGGCCAGTAGTTCCTCATAGAGTAGCTATGGTCCAGATGAACTGGTTTACTTATTACAAACATATAGCTGCTGCGTATGGTCCAGTCTCTGCTCTTTAGACGTTTTCCAGTCAATTTCTAGTTCTTTCTAATTCATCTTGGAGTTGTAAGACTAGCTCACCATAACCACAACCTACCCTATACTGGAGCAGACAGTATGAAGGCGTAGGTTCTGATGTTGAAACTGAGATGGGGCCGCTGTCTCTGATCCAACCTCTGCTAAGCCGCTGTTAAAACAAACAGCTGTGACGTCTCTTTAAAACATGTTAGCCCAGGACAAAAACTGGCTGCCATGCTGTGAACATCAGTGTGGTTTCAGTCTACTTTGTACAAATGCCTTTTTATTAAGAGACCTTGTGCTGGGGTCACAAATTAAAACTACATCAGTAGTAAAGTAAGTACTGCACACTGTAAATGTATTTATTGAGTAATGTTTAATTTTAGCACTTTGCTCATTGCTCTTTTCCAAAGACAGTGTTTTATGAATGTACAGCTCGCATCTTCTTTTGTCCTTTTTGGAGGGAAACTAAGATCTCACAGAGTGAACGCGACTAACAGCAATCAATCAAAAAGCAGCTGAAAGCTGTCAGGACACGCCCAGGAGGATTGGCCCTATTTTGTTGTTTTGGTTTTTTTTGAGTTGATTCACAGATTTATTGATCACATTAGATATGTGCCTGTGAAATCAAAGCTTGCATTGTGCTAGCTCTGATATAAACTCCACTTTAACAAAGCTTACATTCATCATTTTCTGTTATTGTTTGTGTCAAAGCAGTTATGCTCATGCTGTGGTTATAAAAGGTGGTGATGATATTCTGGTCTTATTTTTTACCAGCTCAACATAGGTGAAGGGAAGCAAAATACATATTTATGTTTTAGGCCATGACACTGTCAATAAGCTGGGCAGCTGGAGAAATGCTTACTCTGGATGGGTTTTGGCCCCGGTCACATGAATCCATCCTTAGACCACATGCTCGACGTTCCAGACCTCAGCTCAGTTGTGTGCCATCTGTTAGGGATATGAAGGCACAACTACAAATTTTGGGAGTAGATCTTAAAACATTCTTCTTCTTAGCATGGTTTACCTGACCTATTCTTACTTTTTAAGGGATAGGTATTCTGCAAACACAGTACTCATGCAAAAGTAACGCTTATTTGAGAATTACCTTCTGAGGACTGTTTCTGTTTAAACAGAATTTGAAGTGACTGATATCGTTGGAGAAGCTCGTATGGTTCTGATTCTGGGGTTCTGTTTTGCCTCCTTTTGTATGTCAGTATTTAATATCAAAATAAACCAATCTGAAGTAACTGTACTCACTGGACTGTGAGCTAGCAATATGTACATTTATTTAAAAAGATTTATCTCAAGTTATCTATGTAAACAAAAGTTAAAACACAATGTTACTGATTGTATATTGGACACAAATAAATATTCAGTGCAGCTGATTGCATGGAGGATGATTGTTTTGAACTGATTCATGAAGGCTACAAAAGTCCAAGTGTAGAATTTGAAATACAATCCTGTTCTCAAAACTGCCTCAATTTTAATTTTACTTGGGTGGATCTAGTACTTCTTTGTTAATTCATTTAAAGCAATTAAGCATTTTAAGAAGTTAGTCTAACTGATGCACACATGAGGTTCACGCCTGATTATAAATTCTGCTTCACACCCACCATCTGATGACAAAGTTGAGTTGTAGACACAGTAGGGTTGAATTCGATGTCAGCACATCCGTTGCAGCTGTAACAGCATCAGCTCTTCTTGGAAGGCTTTCTACAACGTTTAAGAGTTTAATTATGTCAATTCTGACCATTCTTCCGAAAGCACATTTATGAAATCGGACACTGACGTTGGACCAGAAGGCCTGGCCTATTCATCCCAAAGGTGTTCTGTCGAGTTGAGGCCAGGACTCTGGCGTGGAAGAGCTTGACTAGCCAGAACAAACTCCCTCATATATGTCTTTGACTTTGATTTGTACATTGATGCACAGTCATGTTGGCACAGGAGGGGCCATCTCCAAACTGTTCCTACAAAGGTGAGAGCATGAAATTGTCCAAAATGCCTTGGTATACTGACGCATTAAGAGTTCCTTTGACTGGAACAAAGGTGCATCTGACAGTTTGCATTAAGGTTTGGATGCAGCTGCTCAGCCATGGAAATCCATTCCATAAAGCTCTGTATGTGCTGAGCTAATCTGAAGGCCAGGCGAAGTTTGCAGGTGTGTATCCATTTACTCTACAGAAAAGCTCCGTGTTGCTGTCATTCCCAGTTGCTTCACTGTTATATTACCTGTATCAGTTGACTAAGGAATTTTTAATGAGGAAATTTAAGATCTGGAATTGTTACACAGGTGGCATCCCGTGTAACAGGGTACTGCTCTGTCACAAGGAGCAGTCTGCAGACTTAGGTCCTTGCTTTTATACACCTGTGGCCAATGAAGTGATTGGAAAACCTGAATTCAATGATTTGGATGGGTGTGTGAATTATTTTGGCAACAGCATCATTTATATTGCTCATGTTATGTTTGAGCAGGGGTAGCTTGTCGGCTATCACGATTGGCTGTCTACCTGCAGAGTGTTGTCAGTGGAGGGAGTGTGCAAAATAATCAGCCCACCGCGTCTGTGGGCTTCACTTCCTGTTGTTGTAGCCAATTGTAGACATGAGCAAAGTTGTAACTTACAAAAGAGTTGAAGTGAAATCAAGTGGAGGACTATACAGGAGCACATTTGCAGTGGTTGAAAACATGTACATGGACCCTATGACAATGACAGATTTGCAGGATCATAAACCTTTAATACTTATTTTATGCTTGAACATGGATAGTTCAAAGGTAGCCTGTCGGCACTCACAGACTGATAAAAACGTAATACATCTGGTCTTTAGGCTACTCGTAATTGTTTTTGTCGGTCCATCAGCAAACTGCTGAGAAGATTAAAGTTATAACTTACAAACAGCTCAAGTAAAACGGAATTTTAAAACAATAAAAAATGGTCATTGCAGCTACTGTCATTTCCATCCTTTATTTTTCATCATTTATGATTATTTTTACATTTCAACTCTCTTCCCCTTTCAGTGTCACACAGTCAGCATTTTACTGAAAAATAGATGATCTGCGTCCAGCAACATGAATGCAAAACTGTTGAAAACATGACAAAATCAAAGCTGAAGAAATGTTTTAATCTTGGGATTTATCAAAGAACATTAAAAAAAACAAAAAAAACAAGCAGAGGACGAGGCTGTAGTGACAGATGTAGCTGTACTGAATGTCAGCAGCGTCAGGAAGAAGGAACACGAGAAGCTGGAGAAGAACCAAGAGCTGAGAGGAGAACAGGGAGAGCTGTGGAGCATGTAGGGGTATGATATGGATCAGCCAGTTTGTGTTAGCGCTCTTTTAATCTTAGCAAACAAAATAGTTAAAGCAGATTAATGAACTTGCAGATATGCTAGGTGGTTAGTGATGTGTGGAACTGTGTATACACACGTAAATGTTGCCTGACATTTTTTTCCGAGTGTCATTTCGGTCCACACTCCATCACAGTTGGTGGCGGTAATGCAGCGTTTCGGTTTTTGGTAACCGTAAACAAAAAAAGAAGAAGAAGAAGAGTTGAAACCGTAGTTTCCGGTTCCGGGCTAACAGTATCCTTCACAAGTGGCAAAATGTTGACCCGAATTTCGCGGTTTGGGCTGACTTTGCCCCGGTTACTTTATAATCCACCAGCCCGGTTGGTCTCCCAGTCTAAAGCGAACAGTGCTACAGGCTCAACCGCGGTGACGGAGCTCCACCCCGAGGTCCAGCATTCTGGTCACGGTGAGGTCAGCCCGTATGTCAAGGTGAGTTCTGCTCGATCAGATTTGAGGACAGCATGCTAATGTTATTTTTACACAGTAAAGGGCTTTACACACCGGACGCGTTCAATTCTGTGGTTTAAATTATTCTCGGACACCCCCATTAATGCAGCCGTTCACGCCGACCGCGTATTTTCACTGGACGAATTTACGGCATTTATTTTTTCCCAACCAGGCTCGATTTTTGCGGTTCTTCAGATCCAAATAAACCGATCTGATTGGTCAGATCGGTTTATTTTGCAACAAGTGCGCTGAGAGTTTAAATTGCGCACCAGTTCTGAATATACAATAGTATCGCAATGATTAAAAATAAAAATTCATTGATTAAAAAATACTATTTTTACCGCAGACATACAGCTAGCCTGCTCTGGCTCAGTCGGTTCTCTGAAATGATTTGTCTGCCCGTGAGATCCGATCAGGTGTTCGTTTTGTTTCTGTTTGTTTGTTTTTTTTAAGCAGTGTATTTTGTGTGAGAACCATTGAATCTTACAAGGCCGCTATTAATTTAAAATAAAACACGAATATGCCTATCAGAAAAACAATTAATATTTCACAAATGTGTAAATATCAAAAACTGTCCATAATATTAGACTGATTTTAAAAGCTGCTTTAAGCTATTCCCTGTCAGAAGAGGTCACCTGATAATGCAGGAAAATGTCTGTGGGACATTTAAGCGTTTGCAAATTCTTCAGTTTATTCCTCAGGTTCAACTTTCCTCTGGCTTGTCTAGATGTAGTCAGATAAGGCGGTTTTAAGTCAGATTCTCCTGAATAAAACAAAGAACTTTAGTTGTTCTGTTAACATACAAATCATATCAGAAAGTGTAGACAGGCCAGTATCATCCTTCCAGTACTGACTGAAAACATGTTGGATACTTAAACTGGTCCCCTTTTGTGGGTTTTTTTCAGAATCCGGAATACCATGGCTTCTCCAGCGATCCAGTGGAGGACGAGTGGAATATGAAAGTGGGCTTCTTCTTCGGCATTTCAGTTGCTCTCGTCATTGGAGGAACTTTTATCCACTATTTACCCGACCATGGGTGAGTTCTCAATTTATCTTTTCATATCAGCTCATTTATATGGTGGCTAGACTTAGCTATGGTTCTTTGTCAAAGGACAGAGTGAAAATGTCAGATGTCTTGTCCTAAGTTAAAATAGGATTATATACACTACTCGTCAAAAGTTTCAGAATACCACAACTTTTTTCTTTTATTGAAAATTATTCAGTTTAATGTCTCATTGCACTCTGAAATGAAAGCATGCTACAAATAAGTAATTGGAGTTAAAAAAAAAAAAAAAACAAGTCATGGAATCAGTTTATAGACCAAAATTCTAAACCTTTACTCATCAAAGTAGCACCTGATATAACAGCTGAACACACCGGCTGCATTCTTTCTACAATGGAAATCAAATATTCTCCAGAAAGTTCTTCCCATATTCCCATCTTCCTTTTTTCCCAACATAGTTCTGGCACAGCTTGGACTTGTGTTTTGGGTCATTATCTTGCTGTAGGATGTATTGCACTGCAGAATGCTGTTGTAGCTGTTTTGGTTCAGGGAGCCTCTCACGCTGTACAAGTCACCGACCCTGGATCCAGCAAACAGCCCCAGACCATCACACTTCCTCCTCCATGTTTGACAGTCGATGCCACACACTGTGGAACCATCCTTCACCTACTCCACCGCAAAGATCCTGTGTGATGAACCCAAGATTTCAAATGTTGATCCATCAGCCCATAATACCTTCTTCTTCAGTAGTCCAATGGTGGTGTTTCATGTCCCAGCCAAGCCTCTTTGTCTTATTCTGACGTCTGGCTTTCTTGCTGCAACTCGTCCTGTCAAACCTGCAGCTCAAAGTCTTCTCTTCACAGCTGAAACTGAGACTTTCTTACGACGACCACTATTAAGCTGCTTGAAGCTGTTGTCCTGTGAGCCGCCTATCACACAGCTGTTAACTTGTCCTCTGATTGAGTCGTGTCTTTGGGTCTGCAGACCTCTTCCTGTCAGTTTGTTTCTGAGCCTTTGGATGGTGAAGGAAACTGGACTCACTGACACCTTGACTTTCTTTTCAGTTTCTCTGTAGGACAGACCGACATTTATAAGTGTTATGATGGTCTGTCTCTCTTCCATTGTTAATCACCTTTTTCTCACCATTTGTGTACCATCACACTGCTTTCTGCAGTACAACACTGTTCAACTGATGCTGACGAGCATATGGTACCACAGTGTGTTGCAACACTTCTTTAATGCAGACACAGGGGGAAGTAATCCAGAAAAGTCGGAACAGCTGTAGAAATTAGTAGCACCAGCTTTCAAGGCTTGATCAAGCTCCATTGTTGCAGAACAGATTACATTTTTAATCCGTTTTTGTATAATTCTGAAATGTACATGATATTTCCCCTTTTTTTTAACCTCTGGCAGTTCACCGCTTTGTACCATTTCAAGCTATTTATTGGACTTGAATTGCAATAAATAACTGGATAAATGTGGGTGTTCTAAAACCACGCGTGTGTGCGTTATGTGTGTACACGGATTCTCTGTCACCATACCACCAACAACGGCGGGCTCCCAGCACACAATTTCAAAACCCCTGCTGACCCT